GGCCAACCAAATAGCTCAGTGGATTAAAGCTCCTGCAAGCAGGCGCAGGGGCCAGGGGATTGATCTCCGGGCCTGCCATGCTGGTCCTGCACCCCAGGGGCATGCTGAGAGAGCGATTGAGACTGAGCATGGTGGTGTGTACCTGTATCCCAGCACTTGCGAGGCTGTAAACAGGAGAATCACTATGAGTCCGATTTAGTAGTGAGACCCTGAACGCTCTGTAGACCCTTCTCTAAAATACAGAAGAAAAAAAAGTTGCAGGAGGTCCTCCAGATGCCTGTGCACTGAGCAGGACTGATGAGTCATTTGGTTAGTGGGACCTTGGCCAGGCTGCCCCTACCTTGGTGGCCAAGGAGCTAAGACACAGTCTGACCTAACATCTCTATGTTTTTGCTTCAGGCCACTCTCTAAATGGTTTATAAACACATTCACATAACATAAGCCACCTATTTATACATTAGAACATTTAAACATTAGCATTAGAATTTAAATATTAGAATTTTTTCATACAATTTGCAAATCTTGCTGAAATAAGTACAGCCATAAAATTCTCAAGCATCCTCACATGTGGAATATTTTCATCACCTCAGAAAGAAATTATATCTAATTTGTTTATCGCCTCCTGTCCCCCTATGTTGCTACTTTAAGCAACTGCTAATTTACTTCCTGTCCTCAGATTTTTCCACATTTGCCTTTGTGTAATCTCACTTTTGTCCATTCAGTTGGACATGCTGCAGTGTATTGTTTGTAAATTCAATTTCATCATGAGTTACTAAAGTTATGCAGTCTAGATGATCAAGAATTAACATTTATTGTTTTCATTGCTTCACCGCTAACATTAACTGCAGTCTAAGTTGCCCCAGCCTCCACAGTAGCTAGGAATACATGTGTGCATCACTACACCTCATTGAAAATGGTGTTTGTGATGCAAGTAGATGAAAGCAACAAATACAGTCTCTACCAGTGCAGTTTATTGCTGCTGTCTTGAATAATTTAAGGCCCTAGCAGTTCTTCAGGGCAGATGTCAACACAGTTGCTTCAGGATAAGTAACAACAGTCAAAGAAGTTAACTAATACTTGAGTATTTCAGTACCATTCTATTTGTGATCTAGCATGGTTTTTCTTCTTTGATGATTATTTAGGGCTGAAACCAACACCTGACATAGTCATGCATCTAGATTATATAAAGAACTATCAACAAGCCGGGCGTGTTGGCACATCCCTGTGACGGGATGCTGAGGGATCTTTGGGATGCTGAGGCAGGAGGTTTGAGTCTCACCGGGGCAACTTAGCAAGACTTGGAGTCAAAACAAAAATAAAAAAGAAAGGCCAGGGAAGTAGCTCACTGTGAAGGTCCTCTTAATCTTCCGCATCACAAACAAACATACAAATAAATAAACGATAAACTGTCAAAAATCTTCAGCAAAACTAGCAATCCAGGTAGCAAGTGGGCAAAAGACATCAAAACACATTTTATCAAAGAGGATATTAGTTTAACAAATAGGCGATGCAAATGTGTGCAACATGACAAAACCATTAATAAAATGCAAATTAAGAACACAATGATGATTACCACATAACCTGTCGTCATAGTTTGGGGTTTTGCAGGGGCAAACAATACAATACAGGACACATTTTATAAGATTATTTTACAATGAATTACCCAAAGAATCATATATAAAAAGTGCAGGAAATCTATCCATATCCTAAAGACCAAAGAATTCAGCTGAAGGCCTGGATCTTAGTATCCTGCATGAGTTCAGATCAAAACCTAAAGCTCATAACAATGCCTTCCACAAACCCAACTGGAGGCCTAGTGCCCATGCCAATGTCTCATGTAGGCCTGCTTTATGGATCTGTACTGGGAAGGTCCAAAGGTCAGTGGTGGAAGCTAGAAAGTCTGTGCCAGTGGGATGAAGGATCTGTGCCACCAGGCTGAGGGATCTCAGCGGGAGCCGGGAAGTAGTGCTCAAGAACCAGAGCTACCTTGAAAAGTACCACAGCCATCCTCAGCAACAGTGAGGTCCCGAGCTCCTCTGACAATGAAGAAGGCTGAGTTCCCATCAGGAAAGCCAATGCACCAAGCTTCTTGAGGAGGCTGAGTGGTGTACCATCTACCCCTCCGGAACCAGCTCAAGGTGAGGACTGTGATGGATCAACTGAATCTTGTGCTATAACTGTGGGAAATTACTAGGAGGAACCTTGCGCTTCCTGTTATCTAAGAAATGTGTTTTCTCTCTCTGCTCAAGGCTGTTTAGTAATGAGTAACTATTTCTTGTCAAGGCAGCTAGCTGAAACAAACTCCCTCCCTAACCATTCCCTGTAAACACAGTCAGATTAAGATGTATCTTGCTTATCGCTAAACTGTGAAAGACCACTTAGTTACAAACAGTTTGCAGCTGTGTCAAATAAATGTGGGTTTGTGCTGTTCTGTGCTAGATAACAAATTTGCTTACCAAACAGGATGTATTTTTGGTTTAAAACTCCTTGCGCCCACCACCTGGGGCCGCTGTCTTCTCCTGTGTGAGAACTGGCTGGTGGTCCAGTAAATAAAGGCTCTATTCAAATTTCAGTCTGCCCCAGGTACCTTTCTCTTTGGCTTCCTTCTTTTTCTGATCATTTTCCTTGACACGTTTCAGGAAACTATCATGACTTTTTGAGTGTTTAATATGCTCGATATGCACATTAATCCTCTTGGCAAGTATCTTGCCCTTAACTTGCTTGTTTACAACAATGCCAACAGCATGCTGGGTAACGTTGTAGACTCTTCCCATTTTGCCATGGTAACATTTGTGAGGTATTCCTTTTTGCACAGTCCCCATTCCCTTGATATCTACAATATCGCCCTTTTTGTAGATTTGCATGTATGTAGCCAAAGGAACAACCCCATGTTCTCTAAAAGGCCTGGAAAGTGTATACCGGGTTCCCCTCCTCTTGCCCTTTGTGTTAGTCATTTTGGCAATTTACTGGAAGATGGCAGTTCTGGCCGAAAGGCTACAAAGTATATTTTTAAGGAAGAAAAACCCTAAATATATAATTAATATATGACTAGGAATTGCATTCCTGAGATTTTATTTCATAGGAATAAAATCATGATGTCGAACTCACAATGATCCTCCTGCTTCAGCCTCCAAAATATTGGTTTATACTCATGTACCACCACACTTGAGGTTTTTTATTTTCATATTCTACTTTTCATTTCCTGTCTCTCCTCCTCAGAGTTCTAGAAAAAGCTTTCCAGGGCCTTTTTAGCCAGCATATGTGGAAGAATAACATTCCCCTCCCCCTTCTATTGCCTGTGCCAGAAGCATAAATAACAGGACCCATTGGGTTGACATGAAGATTGAGGGGACTTGTCACAGGGCCCAGAGTTTCTTATACTTTTGTTTGACTCTTTAGTAAAAGGCTAGTGTTTGCATTTTAGGTTGGGGAAATCTGGGTGCTGTGATATTAAATAGTGAAGGCATAGGTCCTTCACAAATGGCAGGGAACACAGCCTCTGTCCCAGGGCTTGGCTTGGTTCTTCCATATGGCCTCCTGGCTTGGCAAGGAGGACTCTTGCTCTGTTCTTTGGTGTTGGAAAGCTGAGACATTAAGTGCTTCCCCAAACATCACCTGCAGACTTAGGGTGGAGTCACTCTTCAGAGCACTGTATATATATCCTCCCAGATCTAAGTATGGGCTCACCTCCCTTCCCCCAAGTCGGTGGCACCTGGTGGAGTCCACTGAATTCTCAGGCTTAGGGCCTGGGCTTTGTTATCAGGTGTAGCCTGAGGCCTGCTGTAGGGTTTATGTGCTGTTGGGTGGAAATGGTATCTATTGCTACCTGTGTGCCTTTCCACTTGCCCCCTCACTATGGGACTGGCCTATCTTCTAAGCAGTCTTTCAGACTGCATCCTTTCTCTCTGGCATATTTAACGTGAAAATCAGTGTCTGCTAACTCCCAGCTTCTGGTTGGGGAGGGCTGATATCTGGATCCTGTGCTAGAATGGCTTCCTGAGACAAGACCTAGGGAAGAAAGAGGTGGTCCCAGGACCTAGGCAGTGGGTGGAGCGTGAATGCACAGCCCCCTTTTTTGGTATTGGGAGTTGAACTCAGGACCTTGTGCTTTCCAGGCAGATGCTGGAGCCACAGAGCTACATCCCCGGCCCCACTAGAAGCGTGAATGCAGGGTCCCCGATTACCATTGTGTTTTCCTGGTGAGGTTTCTGACTGCTTGCAAGGCAGTGTGGACAGGAGTGTTCAGTGTTTTGGAAGGAGCCTCCTTGGGCCTGGGCTGTGTTTTCTATTATTTGTGGGCCACTCAACAGGCTGACAAGACTTTCCCCCTATCTGGGAAGATACTTAGAACTTGATGGCAAAACCTAAGCCACAGGCCGGGGAGATGGCTCAGTGGAATAAGTGCTTCTCCGGCAAGTGCAAGGGCCTGAGTTCAATCCCTGGTTCTGCAAAAAAAAAAAAAAAAAAAAAAAAAAAACCAAAATCAAGACAAAACCTAAGCCAGGTGGAATATCACAGAGAAGTGGCCCTCCAGGGAGAGGCAGATGTCCGATTCTCTTTTCCCCAACAGCCTCCAAGACTAAAACTGGTGATCCCGATGCACCAGGTCACAGAACACTCACTGAAATACCCACAGACCCCTTGAAGGCCCGGGGCAGCTCCCAGTAACTCCCCAGGACATGGCTTACTCTGAAGTGTCACCCACTACTCTGGCAGTGGCCTGGTTCTTTCAGAGAGTGGTCTTCATGTCATTCCTGCTGCCTGAAGGTGATAATATTCCACAAAGAACTTCCCCCTCTCCCCTGACCCTGTGCAGAAATGTGTGCATCACATGTTGTCTTGGTAACGCATGGGCATCCCAGGGTTCTGAGTAGTGCTCCTAGGGCTGGGCCTTGGAAGTCCAGCATATGGAAGGCAGAAGGCAAGCACTCATTGCCTGGCCACAAACCCAGTTAAAGCCCAGCCCTAGTGGGTGGGGGTATGAGCAGGTGTAGTGGTACCTCAGTAGTGGTGCCCTGGCTGAAGATGGGGACAGCAAGAGAAGACCCCACAGGAAGGGACATTCCAAAGACATGTTCTTTAGCCTTCGTGAGATCTTTGTGGGTTGGAGTCCTGCATGAGCAGCAGAGGGATAAAGACAGGGAGGTCCTGCTGCTAGTGAGCACTCAAGTCTGTCCATATTCCTACCTGGGAGGGTCCAGGAAATATGGGCAACTCTAGGACTGGAAAGAAATTGATCTGAACCCCAAGAATAATGCCGGTTCATTGGGACCTGTGCTAAACAGGAGCTCCTTCTTATTGAAGAAACTCCACGCCGAGGTGGGCTGCACTGTGAGCTTTCAGGGGTCTTGCTGGCCACACAAGGATTCTGGTGTCTGGCATATCTGCAGAGGGACAGCCTCAGAAACTACTGTGGGGCTAGTGGCTGGACTGCTGAGTCTTGGGTCAGCTAAACAGACTGATTTTCAACCAATGACCCTGTGTGGAAATTGAGCAGGAATGACCTCGACTTAAGCAGGGAGCAGACCAATAGGGGACTTAGGAGGTGGGCAGTGAACAATCCACAAGGGATTTGGGGAGGCTGGGGCTTATATGGGCAGGTGACAGGCTATGAGGTGTCAACCTAGGAGCAGAACTCTGAACATTGCCGGCTTAAGTCCTAGCTTCCAGCCTGGCATCAGGGCCCCATGTGTGTTCCTAATTCATGCTCAACCCCTGTGTATGAGAGGCCTCAGGGCTTCAAGAGCCCAAGTCTTGCCCACCTCTGGGAGGTTCTTTTTGCCCCTGCACTTGGATGCCTGGAGCACAGCCTGGTCTCCCTGGAGAGCCACAATTTCTTCATGATGGGAGCAGTCTGCATATCACAGCAGTCTGCAGGACCCTGCTTTCTGCCTAGCTGGCACACGTTCCTCAGCGTCCTCTTACTGTTCCTGTCACACCTCTGCCTTTCCCAGGGGACCAGGAGTGAAAGTTTCCCTGTGAGGTCTTGCTCCCTTTCAGGGCAGGACCCAAAAGCTGACCCCAAGGGAAGGGGGTTCTGAGGGGCAGGAAGTTGGGGGGGGGCGAGAGACTGCAGCTAGGGGGCAAGGATGAAGTTTTATTTGGTTATTTTGGCCAGGCTTTGTTTGGGGACTGGCAGCTGATGGACAAAGAAGCAGAGGAATGGGAACACTTGTTAATAATGAGCTGGAGAAAGCAAGGCTGCAGCACAGCACCTGAGGCCTGCACAGAGAGGATGCAGATGGGCATATCGTTACCCTCTGGCGTGCTGTGCGGCCTGAAGCATAAATGGCAGCAGGAGGCAGGTCTGTGCTGGCCCAAGCACACTGTGACTCTTGCGGAAGCCTGTAGCTCTCAGTGGCTGGGGCAGGAAGTGTGTGGGAGGAGGACCTGTCAGTGAGTCCGGCACAGGAGTCAGCCTCTTGACTGAGCTGATCCAGTCAGTGAAGTGGGTGACCCTGGTGAAGACGCTAGGGTAAACGGGGTGCCGACAGTCCAAACTCCAGCTGGCCAGTCCTACCAGGACCCAGGCACCGGGGTAGTAGCAGACAAGAGGCCCTCCAGAATCGCCCTGAGGAAAGAGAGAAAAAGAGTCAGTACAAGGTGAGTAGTCAGAGACATGAGAAGCATGTCTGGTCCAGAGCTGCCAATATCCAAGTTAGGGCCCCACTACAGCCCCACTGGATTCAGTTTTGTAGGTAGAACACTGGAAGGGAGCCGCAAGGTACTCCTGAGCTGCTTGGGTGTCCAGATGGATGACCATACATGTGAATTTATCAACATGTGCACCTCTGCTTCTGCTAGCCATGCAAGGTAGTGGCCTAGTACTATGTGCTGCCCAAGGCCAGGAGGGGACAGGTGCCTACAGAGAGGGGCTAGGGAGCTGGTCAGGCAAGCGGAGATCCCTGTGCAGACTGAATCTCTGTAAACTCTGAGGAGCACAGCATGTTCCCCCAGGTCCCTGTCTCTGTTTACTCAACTCTGTGGCTTTTTCTCTATTTCATGTGAGAAAATACACGTGGCCAGGCTTGGTGGAGACAGGCTGTGTTACAGTTCGTATTTGAAATGTTCCCCAAAGGTTCACTGTGCTGAAGGGTTGATTGTCAGCTGATGGACTTGGCAAAGTGACAAGATGGTGAGAATTCATGGCTGAATGGGTCAAAGGGAGTGGATCATGGTGGCACGACCCTGGGGACCATATCATGTCCCAGACCCTTTCCTGTTTGCCTCTTTCTCTCTCTGATTTCTGCCACAAGGTGAGAAGCTTTCCTCTGCCATGTCTTTCTGCTACAATATCTCTACTGGGACGTAGTCCTAAAAAGTGATGGAGCAAGTGACCATGGAGTGAAACCTCTGAACCCATGAGCCAATTACAGTGGTATCTCAGTTCAAGAATGCTTTCGTTTACAAACAAATTCATAAACAAAAAAACATGGCAAAAAATGGTGTGTAAAAACTGCATCCAGTGAGGCACATGACCACGACCATCCTTCCTGCTGAATATGAATGTGACCATCCGTTCCAGAATCATGAAATGAATTGTTTGTGAACTGAGGCTCCACTGTATGTCTTTTCTCATTTCAGTTGTTCTTCCCAGATATTTTGTCACAGCAACACTGAGGTAACACAGCTGTCACTAGGGGAGTGGGCAAGCATCTCTAGTGGATTGGGAGTTACCTGAGATCTGAAATGCTATCGGGGAGGTTCATCCTGTGGGATAGCCAGGCCATGGTGACCTCTGTGCCAAAGCTTAGCCCACAGATGCTGGCTTAGGTGTGGGACCTTGTAGGAGAGCTTGCAGAGGAAGAGATGGTATGGGATTCAGTTCTCTAACCTTGGTTGTGTTGGCTCTTGATATAAGAGTAAACTTATATCAAGAATATATAAATAATTCCTATAAGAAACAGACAACCCTTACTCAGGAGGCTGTGACAGGAAGATCACAAATTCAAGGCAAGCCTGGGAAACAACACAAACCCTGTCTCAAACAAAAAAAAAATGCTGATGTGTTATGTCAGTATAGGAAATTTCAGCCAGCTATATAATTTCACTGGGAGGATGTAAATTAAAGCCAAAAACCAATAACACTCGTCAAAACTGTCACAGTGTGAAAAGATGGAAGGTACTAAGTTTGGGTGAGGACATAAATTCTCAGCCGCTGCTGGAGGACTGTTTACTAATTTCTACCAAGACTGAATACATATATGCCTTTTATCTAGCAATTCATGGGATTCTACAAAATAAAGTAGCAAAGATGTTCTGTTCACCTGTGCTCTAAAAAAGCACAAGAAAACACACAGAGCATGCATGCCACTCATCAGACCTCCGAGCTGCAAACGACTCAACACCCATCCAGCACAGAAGGGGCAAGAACATTCAGTTCACACAGGACCACACTTCAGGGAAATGGCAGAGTACATACTGTACTCTGGATGAGCCTCACTAACAAAACATTCAGGGCTGGGGGTTGTGGCCAGTGGTAGAGTCTTGCCTTACATGCACAAGGCCCTGAGTTCAATCCCCAGCACCACAAAAATATATTAAAAAAGAAAGAAATAAAAAGAAAGTAACAAAACATTCAGGTACACGGGCATGACAACTGCAAATTAGATTTCCAGAAAACACAGAATTCAATCTAAGGTTGAAGTGAAGACAGGAGTTTCCCTTGGGTATCAGAGAAAAGAAGGGGGTGGGGGACAAGGGGTCTTCTGGCATGTTGTGTCAGCATGGAAAAGTTCATCAGATTGTGCCCATGTGTATTGCTTGTACTACAACAAAAAGTTTAAAATATGCAACACAAATGGAAGCAGCGTGAGCGTCCTTCTAGTGGCTGCCCCTGCAGCAGGATTGGCTGGGGAATGGGATACCTTGGGGGGGGGGTACTGTTGAGGGACAAAGCCCAGGGAAAACACCCAGTGAGAAGGAAACAAGGATTCCAAGGTTTCCACAAAGACAGTAGAGACCAGCACTGTTCCCCTAGGAAATGAAGGCCATGAGAATAGGCCAATGAACAGCAGAGCTTGCTCTTACACTGCAGATGGACTTTCCTTCAGAGAAATTCCCGATGCACAGCATCTCCTCCTGCACCAAGTGGTCCTTGCCAGTTCTTTGCTCATACAAGAGGCTGCAGAGCTCATTCTCAATGAGGCCTACTTCAGCCTCCTGGAGAGGGAAGGGTGGTGACAGCTGCACTGTGAAAACAAGATGAAGGTCAGGGACTTGCATGACAGGTCACACAAGGAAGCCCAATCAGTCCAACTAGTTTCCCAACTCTGCCTGATGCTCAAAATTCTCCTCCCCCAAACGTGGGGTTTTCCTGGAATATCTGAGTTTGAAATATTGTTTCAGTCTTCTACCTACCTGGTAAGTTCCTCCTCTTTTCACAAGACCTAACAGACCACACCTCTCCCAGGGCTGCACAGAGGTGAATACCACACACGTATAACCTACTTATTGGGGTTCAGCAATCATTCACCAATTCACATTCCTTGTCACAAAGTATCCCATCTATTTTCTTTCCTCCTCCTCCTCCTCCTC